AAGGGAAGGGAAGGGAAGGGAAGGGAAGGGAAGGGAAGGGAAGGGCCGTCCACTCCTGCCGCACCGGTGCAGGAGCCGGAGGGGAGGGACAGGAGCCGGAGACCTGAATTCCTGCCGAACAGACCCAAGTTTCCTCCCCTGCAGGGAGCGGGCGAGACACCTCTCCGGGGGCGCCTCCTCGCCGGCAGCACCGCATCTCCAAGTCGCTCAGGGTTACCCCACCCGACCCGTCGAAAGGAGAAGGAAACGGCGCCTCTGCGGATGCCCTTCCCCTTTCTCCTTCTCCACGGGCCGGGACGTGAAACCAGGGAGGCGGGAAGCCCGGCGTTCCACTCGCACCGCTCGGGGCACGGTGCTGCCAGAGAGGAGCCGGGGAACGGGGGACAGGACGTTTATCGCCCCTTTTCTGAGAACTCAAAACCCCGGCTCAGCCTCGTGCTGCTTCTCGGTCCCTTTTGCTGCGGAGAAGCCCGAAGCGGCTTCTGCACCTTTCCCCCACCCTTGCCCTGCGGCTGGAGAGGAGCCCGGGGTCCTGGGGAAAGCGGGGCAGAGCCCGGGGCGGCTGCGGGTGGCTGTACAATGCTTTGATAGTGTAAAGCACTGAGTGCTAAATATTATAAAATACATCTGTGGGGAGGAGGGAATTTCTCAGCACAGGACCTTTAATCAGCAGAGAGGCCGAAGCTGAAGATACTAACCAGTCGTACAGTACTTTGAGCACATGCCGAGAGCTTTTTGGCCTTTTTGTTGCAAAATAATGTAGGCCAGGCATTTCACAAGAGGCTCGTCATTTTGGGTACCTTGATTTTAAGGCCAATTAGGACTCCTTAAAGGAGGTATGGAGGGGTTATTAAACTACTACATATAAAGCACCCTAAGACAGCAATACTCAATATTCTTGGCTGGAAGGTTATGCTGTCACCATACAGAACCTGCCCAATTATTCCTTATTAGATTTTTATCAGTCCACAAAGTCCCATTTCTCTGACTTGGACATTAAGTAAATGAGTGGAACCACACCAAGGCTATGGAATAACAGGTGGTCTGCATTCGCATGCACTGACAAAGGACTTACTCTTCTCCCCGGTGGTGACACAGTACTTCAATTATTGCATTTCAGACAACCCTCATCACATGTTTGCCTACTTCATAAAAAAGCAAATCAACTTCTTGCATGTTTTTTCTCCTCCGTGAAAACTAAATCATCTGATTTATGTTTAGATATGATTGTTGGTATGTGTTCTACAAATGAACCTCCCCCCACTGACTTTAGTAGAAGTCTGGGATGACTAAGGGTCTCAGTGCTGGGAGCATTAGATTTAAATGGTTAAATTAAAATGTTATTACTCTTAAAAACAACTTTTCATTTCTTTTATTTCAAATGTTGTTGCAATGACATTCTTCCTAAAGAAATTACCTCATCAGTCTGGGGTACAGTGGTAGCGTAAAACCCCAAGCGAGATATAAGGCCTCTTTCATCATGGGAAATAAATTCAATATCCTCCAAATCAGTGTGCTGTGTTGGGTTCATGCCACCCCAGGGAGCATATTTAATAATATTACATAGATAAAAGTCTGTGTTTTGATACACTGGGTGAGATGTATGCTGTAGCTGGCAGGGCTAGCAAGCTCCTCATGCACAGCAGGTGTTACACATGCAAGGAGGCCAGGGGACCTTGGGAACCAGGGAATGAGAGGGACAGATCAGGGCTCACTACAGGAGGGAAGGGAAGGGAAGGGAAGGGAAGGGAAGGGAAGGGAAGGGAAGGGAAGGGAAAGGAAGGGGCGCATCTGCAGCATCTTTCGGTCATCTTGCAGAAGTACTGGAAGGACTTACTTCAGCGGTGGGATGGCTTTTTTACAACACGGTTCGCCAGTTCCGTATGTTTTCGGGGCAAATACACGTTCTCCGGACGATTTTCAAATGTTGGTGTATGCGTGCTTACGCCTGAGAGATGTATTCGGCTGCTGCAGCGTCGCACAGCCCGTTCACCAACACGACCGCCCGGAGGTGCCTTCCAAAAGCTGTTTCGCACCTCGATTTAAATCCACACATCCCCACACACACCCGCCCCCCCCCCCCCCCCTCCACCACCCGCGGCTCCCCCGCCCG